CCACCCGTGCCTGCTTCCTTCTGAAGGCTTTGGGGGCCAGAGGTGGGTGTTGGGTGTTAAGGCCCCTCAGGCCCAGCCAGTAGGGAGCTGGGGTAGGCCTTGACCTTGGGGGTGAGCTGCAGTAGGGGGGTTCCAGAACAGCTGTGTGCCATGCTTCTCCGCTCTGATCCGATTAATCCCATGGCCTCTGCTGCTCCTGGCCAAGCTGGACCTCCCTGTGTCATGTCTGCCCCCTCCCTGGTACAGGAGAATGCCTTCAGAGGACAGGCCTAACTCCTCCCCTGCCCTGGGCTGGGAGTCAGGACTTACCTGGGTCAGGAGGGCCCTTACGATCCTGAGCCTTCCAAGGGGCTTGGAACCTGCCCGTGCTTCGGGGTCAGGAGAGCTGTAGGCCGGATCTCCGGTCAGCTATGGACATCTCAGCGGTTCACAGAAGCCATTCGCATAGGTGCTCCCATTAGCAGTGCCTTGGGGACCAGGCCTGGCTTCAAGGTCACCCAGCCTGCGGGTCGTGGGGTCCTCAGTCCAGACTGGAGGGAGCAGAGGCCGGGCGGCTGCGGGAGGCCAGGAGGAGGTGTGATGTGGGGTCCCTTGGCCAAGCCAGGTGGAGCCAGGCAGGGGGAGGGGCTGCCTGTTTGTTAGGCCTGGGCCCCCGCCAGGGCTAACACACCTTTAGGCCTTTCCTTCCACCTGCCAAATCTCCCACACACCCCATGGTGGCCGGGCACCGGCAGCCAAGACAGGGCTCTGAGAGCGGCCGGACACCTTCTCGCAGAAGCTGGAGGGAACGTCCGCGTGCGCAGCCGCAGTGCTGGGCAGCCCTCCCTCAGCCTTCAGTCGAGCCCCCACCCCACCCACACCCACCCCTGCCCCATCTTTGGACACTGAGGCTCAGGCCCAGGAGGCTGCCAGTCACGGGAGGGGAAACTCAGGGTCCTGGGGTGGCCACGACCCTACTTTGGGGGCCCAGCAGCCCTTTGCTTTCCTGCTTTCCTGCCCCCCTCTTCAGTCGCACCCTCTCAGCCCTGAGCTAGGCAGTCCCCCCAGCACCCCGCCCCACTGGGCCCTGAGGCCTGCCCTAGCAGTGAGGCCCCACCTTCCCCGGCCAGGCCTGCCAAAGCCCGGCCTCTGCCTCCACAGGGCCCCTGGACGTGCTCTGGGCTCCTGCCTAATGCTCACTGGCCTCCTTGACCTCCTCCCACCATGCTCCTTCCCCAGGCAGCCTCTCTACCTCCCCACCAGCCCATGTGGCCAGCGCATCCTGCTATTTGCAGAACATGCCAGCCTTCACTTCCCCGTGTGCCTCTGCCCTCCCGGCTGCCCATCCCATCCCACTTCCTTGGCGAACTCTTACTTGTCCTTCAACACCCAGCTGGGAGATCAGCCCTGAGAACCCTGCCCAAGCCCAGGGAGGAGCTGGCTCTTCCTGCACTTCCCGGGGCTGCCCTCCCACGCTCCAGACGCAGCGTCTCGAACGCACACCAAGGGTCATCCAAAGCCCCTGCCAGGCTGGAGGGCGCAAATCAGAAGAAGCCTGATGGAGAAGCAACTGGTGCGCTTGACTCTGCCAAGGGGAAGAAAGGCACATGCCAGGGTGGGGAGAGAGAGGGCGCTCCGCAGGAGGAAATGCTGGGCCACAGGGAAACGTGTGTGAGTGTGTCCCCGGGTGGAGGGCTCTGCACAGGGCAGGACACTTGGTCGGCAGTCGTGTTGGGTCTTTTCAAGGTCTCACAGGAGAGGGTGGTCCTCACCTCCACACCCCAGCATTGCCAACCCATGCCCATGGGCTTGGGACTACACCCTGCCAGGTGTGGTGTCCAGGAGGCTCCTCACTGGGCACAGGCAGGGGTTTTCTTGGCGCACTACAGGGCGTGGAGTGCAGAGGGGGTCCCTAGACAAACCCTCCTGTCCAGCTCCTCTCCTGGCCTAGGTCCCCAAAACTGGTGCCCCCATAGTCCTGGGATGCCCTCCCCCTCACCCCCGAGATCTGACCCCCAGCTTCTCTGGCCACCGGAGCGGCTTAATGAGCTCAGGTCACATGGGCTGTGCTACTGCCTGTAGGGAGGCCTGGCCAGGCCCTGACGTCAGCATCATTAACCGTCCACCAGGTTAGACCCGCTAGAGCCAGAGCTGAAGGCTGTCAGGCCCTCAGGGGCACCTTGAGGTTGCACGTCAGGCAGGGATCATGGTGGCCAGAGGTGCCCCTGACCTGCAAGGCCCCCTGAGGGACAGCCTGCCCTGGGATAGCTGTCCAATCCTCTGCCCTGGACTGTGAATCGGGCACTGGGCACCCCTGACCCTGCTCCCTGGGGTGTGATTGCACTGGTATGCTGAGTAGGGTGAGGAGGCCCCAGGCTTGTAGACTCAGGGCACCAATACTTGCTGGCAATGGAGGTTTGAGGCCAGGCAGAGTCCACGGAATCTGGCCCCGAATCCCAGACCCTGGGGCCAGAACTGTGTGTGGGAGGGGACTCTTAGCAAGGTGTGGGTTTCTCTCTGCCCCTTGCCCAGGAAGGCTGGGGAGTGATCATCTTTCTTTCAAGACAAGGTTCTGTGTGGAAGACCCCATGAGCCCACGGCTCCTCACCCTCAAGCCCACCACCTCCAGCACCTCAAAGCCTCCTGTCTGGTCCCCCTTCCCTCTCAATCCCACTGTCACTCTCCGCTGCCTCACCTCCCACCAGCAAACTGCTTGCCAGAGAGTTCTTAGTGGAGATGAGCAGCCAGCTCAGCGGGGCCGAGACCACCCAGGCCAGTGGGGGGTCCTGACCCCTGGCCAATCCTCCACTCATCCTCTAAGCAGCACCAGCATGGCAGCCCACATGTGCCGTGGACTGCCTCACCCATCCAGTGCCCCCACCTCCATGCTCAGGCCTGGGCACCCTCCCCTCCCAGCTCTGGGCGCCTCAGGTCAGGCTCACCACTGGACACAGGGAGTGCTGCCACACGCTGCCTCCTGCACAGTGCCAGGGATCTGGCTGCCTCCTGGACTTCCCCCCAAGAGTCAAAGGTCCAGATGCAGTCCACTCAACATGCCTCTGCAGTCCCAGATCGGGGGCATTGCAGGCACGTGGCCACCCGTACACTTCCAGACCCGTCACTGAGCCTCACCCCTTGCCGAACCTGGCCTCCTAGGGCAATGGGGACAGAAGCCTTCCTCATGGCCCCCCAGCTCCACTCTCCTCCTCCCCCATGCCTGTTCACACCAGCCCCCCAGAAAAATATGTGCCCTGTATGCAAGTTGCCATGAAAATTTTTAATTATTTTTTTCCCGAGAAGCAAATTTATAAAATATCATTGATGATTTTATTTTCATTAAAGCTGGGGAAATAAAACTGCAAGTTGTTTTAAGTATAAATAAAATACTTAAGCTTAAAATAATATCATGAGTTATAACATATCTACTTACAATTTTTTGAACTACTTTAATGTTCTGCAAAAAAAATGTGACCATTAAAAATACATAAGAACATACATAGCAGACAATTTTCCTTTTGCTTCAGGCTCCAATATGGCTCCGCAGAGCTCTCTTGGGTCTTGTCTTTATGTAAAATTTTGATATTTTGTTCATCATGGATTTTTTTTGCAGGAATTTTGCTTTTTAAAACTATTGCATTAAAAAAAAGTATTGCATTAATATATTATCTTGATTACTGAATTTTTTGGCACCACCTTGACTTTTGCACCTGAGGTGAGTGCCTCTTTGGTCTCACCCCAGTTTCAGCCCTGCAATTACATCCTAGCTTCAAGGGCTTCTCAAGGAAGTGGAGGCCTTCAGGGTGGCACCTGCCCACTGTCCCCCACCCTGTGTCACCCTGTCCTGCTGCCACTCCACTGAGCTCCCTTTACAAGCCCTTGTTCCTGGGCCTTATACGTCCTACTATCTCTGCCAGGATTGGTTTCAACTCAGAACTCCCTCTTCACCCAAGATCGTCCCTGTAGATATTCCCATGGCCCCTTTCCCCCAAACCCCTCGAGGCACAAGTTGGTCCCATGCCCCCAAGAGTACCCCTACCATGTGAAGCCAGATGCTCCTCCTGGGAAAGGCTGGGTCTCTACACATCCAGTCCAGCACGGGGCACTGAGTGAAATGTCCCTGATTTGTGATAATGAGCGCCCCCCGCCCCCCGCAGGAAAGGACAGGCAGGGCCTCATGCAAAGGTGTATTGCTGAGTCTGTGCATCTAGCCAAGGGGCATGTGTATCAGGCCCTGCCTGGCCTTGTCATCAGTGCAGCACAGACCCTGGCCCGCGGGCATCAGCGAGGACTCGGGGCTCGGTGAGGAAGTCCGGAGCAGGGGTACGGGGACAGGGGCCTTTGTCCCTGACAGTTTACGCATGGTCCCCCATTTTCCTGCCAAGGAGTGGGTCCTGAATGGAAAGGGGAGAGGGTCAAGAGGGTCATCTGGGCCGGCTTGTGACCCCACCTGAGGTAGACCCCTCTGGGCACAGCCTGGGCCTCCGTCCCGTCCTGACTCCGCTTCCTGTGGCTGATCGATAGGAGCCGGACTCTGTCCCCAGCCACCCCTCGGGACAGTTCAACCATTGGCCACAGCTGGGTGTCAACAGTACCCTCCCTCAGCAGACTGTCCCCACGGCTGGCCAGCCTGAGTACCATGGGTGGGCGGCTGAGCAGCACATGGATCTGGCATCCAAGGACAGAGGGGGCAGAGCCCAAGGGGGAAGGGACTAGAGGTTCCTCTGAGCCTGGTGTGTGGGGAGGGGTCCAGATTGAATCTCCCCCTGGCACCCAGGGGCTCCCAGGCCCATCCTCACCCACTAATTCATCTATCTATATGAGCTGGCTTGCACCTTGGACCCCTGAAGGGCAGTCGCTGGCCACTGGGTGGACGGGTGTCAGACTTGTCACATGGAGGTGCTAAAGCTGGGATGAGCCGATGGTCAGCAGCAGGCCTGACCCCTGCTGCTGGAGGAGGGACCCCTGCATGCCCGCTGCCCTTCAGGAACCTCTGGGAGGGAGGCTGTTTGCTGGGCCCAGACCCACCGGGTGAGTGACAGGCCCCCTGGGGCAGGAGAGCTGCTGGGAACCAGCCAGCTGGGGCCTGCTGAGTCACTGTGAGCCCCAGCTGCCCCAAGGCCTGCCGCTCCCGGCTGGGGCTGGCTGTGGTGGGTCCTGGAGGCCAGCGCAGCCACGCAGGGCTGAGGCTGGGGCAGGGCCAGGGCCTCAAGGGAGCAGGGCTCAGGGCTTTGTGGCTGGTGGGGCCCAGGGGTCTTGGGGGTGATGGGGCTCTGTGGGCTGGGATAGAAGGTGGCTAGGGTTACAGGCCCTCAGGGGCCCGCATGAGCACAGGTGCCTGTGAATAGAAAAAGGAACCGAATCAACATCCCTGAGCCCCAGAATAACTGGGCTTCAGCTGAGAGACATTGTGGAGGTGGACTTAGAAGCAGTGAGGCCTGGGAGTTGGGGTCCAGAGAATTAATGGGTGAGGAGGGGCTGTGGAGGGGCCTGGCGGGGAGCAGGGCCAGCAGCGCAGACGCGGAGCTGGGGTGGATGAGGGGGCAGGGGCGCCGCAGAGAGGTCTGAGGGTGCTGGGGAGCACGCGGGGGACTGAGACCAAGGGGTGTGGCGGCCGCCTCAGAAGAGGCCGCAGTCTTTGAGGTTCTCCTTGATGATGATGTCGGTGACAGCGTCGAAGACAAACTTGACGTTCTGCGTGTCGGTGGCGCACGTCATGTGGGAGTAGATCTCCTTCACGTCGCGGCGCATGTTGAGCTCCAGGAACTGCACCTTGATGTAGTTGCCCGCGTCCTCATACGTGTTGGGCCCTGCAGGGAAGGTTCAGGCTGCTGCGAGCGGCTGGGCAGGGGGCTGGGCCGCGGGGGCCGCGGCGGACCAGGCAGGCGGGGGCTCACCGTCGTAGTCCGGAAAGCAGATGCTGAGGTGCGCCTTTTTAATCTTCTCGAAGAAGACGTCCTTCTTGTTCAGGAAGAGCACTATGGACGTGGTGGCGAAGTAGCGGTGGTTGCAGATGCTGTTGAACAGGTGCAGGCTCTCGTGCATGCGGTTCTGCGGAGGAAAGGGGCCGTCGGGGGGGGTGTCGCACGCCCGGCCGCCACTCTCCTCGCGGCTCCGGGGCGCCCGGCCTCCTCCCTCCGCCCCGGGCGGCCCGCGAGCCCCGCCCGCGCGCGCACCACTTCGTCATCCTCCACGAGGACCATGTCGTAGGCGCTCAGCGCCGCGATGAAGATGATGCAGGTCACGCCCTCGAAGCAGTGGATCCACTTCTTGCGCTCGGAGCGCTGCCCGCCCACGTCGAACATCCTGCAGGGCGGTGGGGGCCCTGAACCCACTCCTCGAGTTCCCCCCGCCGGCCGAGGCCGTGGCTGGAGGCCTCGAGGGACGGGTCCCCGCGTGCGCCGCGCCTTTGTGCGCGCAGGGGATCCGAGGCGCGCCACGGTCGGGGTGCGGCCTGGGGACGGCGCGGGGCGCGGGGCCGTACCGGAAGTTGAGGTCCTTGAAGGAGAACTGCGTCTCGATGATGCCGGTGGTCTTGACGCGCGAGCGCAGCACGTCCTGCTCCGTGGGCACGTAGCCGGGGGTCACCAGGCGCTCCAGGTCCGACAGGTAGCTGCGGGAGGCCGGCGTGTGGGCGCGGGGCAGGGGGCCGCGCCCGCCCCCGCCGCGCCCCGGCCGCCCGCGCGCGCGCACTAGCCGGCCGAGTCGTTGAGCTGGTACTCGGAGGCGCGGTCGAAGCAGGCCTGGATGCCCGAGTCCGTCCACAGCCGCTGGATGATGTCCGACATCTCCTTGGGCATCGTGCCCTCCTCGATGGTGTCCGCCATGTGCAGCAGCTTCCGCGCGTCGTCCTGGGGGTTGGGAGCGGTGGTTGGCCACGGCCGTGCAGGGCCGGCCCGCGGCCGCGAACACACCGGCCCCCCGCGCACCTGGCGCGCCGAGTCCCCGTACTGGATGTTGAGAGTGGTCATGGCGCGCACGATGGCCAGGATGGACTGCAGCGTGTTGCCGTAGATGATGGCGATGAACTCCAGGCACTCTTCCAGCGAGTACCCGTCCTGGTGGATGATCCTGCGGCCGGGCGAGCGGGGTGAGCGCCTCGCGGGCAGGTGGGCAAGGACGGGGCCGCGCGCGCGCTGCCCACCCCCGGGGGCCCCGGGCGGCGGGGGCACTCACTTCATCTGCTTGACAATGGTGCTCTTCCCGGACTCGCCGGCGCCTGGAAGGAAGCCCCCTCAGAGCGGCGCCGCCCGCCCCGCGCGTGCCCCGTCCCCGCACCTGCCCCCGCGCGGCCGGCCCGCAAGGCCGCCGGGGCCGCCCGGGCACCAGCCCACACCCGGGTCCCATCCTTCCATTCACCCCGCTTCCAAAGTAAGGCCCGGACGCTCTGGCGGGAGTGACAGAAAAGGGCCGGCGGGGCAGTCAGCGACCCCCGCGGCGCGGGGGCGCCTCCCGCCAGAGCGTCGGCTGCATAGGCGGAGACCAAAATAAAGACTATCTGGGGCGCCACCTTGTGGGAGTTCCGGTAGCGCACGCAGCAGGCGTTCGCGCCGGGTCAACCCCTGCGTTTCACCTGCGTTGCAAGGGGAACGTCTCCAAGCAGCTCAGAGGGAATGAGCGCCTCTGGGTAGGAGAGAGGATAGAGCTGACGCCCCTCTCAGCCTGTTTGCAAGAGGGCCTTGGGCACAGTTAATGGGATGTCTGGCTTAACCTCTGTCTTCTGTCTTCTGGGGGTTCTCTGGCTTGGTCCCTTTGCCCACATTCAGCTGCCCGACTGGACCCCGGAGAGCCTTCTTCCCCTTGAGGGGAGGCAGTGCGTCCAGGGCTCGGCCCGGTTCCTGCCACTGCCCATGGGACATGGATGTGGCATGACTCCCTGCTGGCTCTTCTACCCCCGCACCCCCTGTAGCTGGTTTGCAGACCTGTCATCAACAAAGCCCTGGGACCTGAGGGCTGTTGTCAAAGATCAGGGGTAGTAGTGGCTGCGCACTCCCAGGAGGACCGTGGCTTCTCCTTCCCAGGGAGCAGCCCTATTGTGGGGTTCCCTGCCTAGCAGGCCCACCAAGCCAAAGGCCTGGGCTTGAGGGAGCCCAGACAGTGTGCCCTGCACTCACACCTGTACAAAGTGTGGTGGGCACACACTTCTCCGGAGGGGGGGCTTCTGGGAGCTCCGTGGAACACCCGGCCTTGGGGAGCCCAGGCACTGCTGCCGGGCTTGGCCTGGCCTGCCAGGGCTCCCACTCTATTCCCTGCCTGTCACAGGCTCATTTTGTGTCCCAGGTCACCCTGGCTTCTGGCCCGTGGAGGTGCCTACCAGCCCGCCCTACCCAGAAGCAGCAGTTTCACCGTTCGGGCGTCTTTCTCAGCATCTTCTCGCAGCTTCTTTTCCAGCTCTCTTGAGTGCTTCTCCTCAGCACTGGCCCCAGCCCCCATGGTGCTAGCAGCCGGGGAAGGAGCTGGTGGTCAGCTGGCTCTCCTGGGTGGACGGGGTCCCCAGAGCCAGGCTCAGGCCAGCATCTAGTCTGCCTGACACGCTTCTGGCCCCAGGGCTGGCAACCAACTGGCTCTGCGCACACCCTGGTGGGGCTGCTTAGTGGGATTTAGGGGCTGGGGGTTCCCAAGAGCCAATCAGAGACAAGGACAGGTGTATCCAGCTCAGCCCCCAGCCCTTCTAATCGGACTGGTGTGGCCCCAATCCCCCAGCTGCTGACTCTGCATCACCTCCTACCCCGCCTTACCCTCCAAGAGAGACTGGAGACAGTCTAGCCCCTGCCCCAGGGCAGGGGGACTTGTTTGGCGGGGTCTAGGCTCAGAAGGGGTAGGAGAAGGCCTGGGGAGGGGAGGGGAGGTGTGGGGAGGAGGGCGGTGGGGGAGGGTCCGGCAGCAGGGACCTGACGGAGAAGCATTCAAGGGGCGTCTGCTCCTGCCTGCCCTGGGCACAGCACCGTTCCTGGTCTTGTAAGCTCACACTGGCTCTCTGGGGAGTTCGCATCGCCAGCCCCCTTTTCCCAATGAGGAAGCAGAGACTCAGAGGGTCATACAGTGTGGGAGGTGATTGAGAAGGGCCAGGTTCCACATTCTTCAGGGAGTCAGGAGAGATGGATGTCACATTCACCCCATACAGAGGTCTGGATCGGACCCGGGCAGACCTCTACATGCCTCCATGAGTACAGTGGACTTGGGTGGGCATGCGTGTCTACTGTATGTGCCAAGATGGCACCAAGCAAGGCACAGACATGACACGTTTGTCTGTGTATACTCATGTGTACACGCTTGTCAAGCATGCCTTTGTCAGAGCCTGTGTTGTGCGTAGGCACACCTGTTTATGTCCGTCTGTGGGTGTGCTTTTGTGTATCTTCATGTGCACGGGCTATGTGGAGTAATGTGTGCCCGTGTGCATGAACGTGCAAGTGCACGTACACATGCAGTGTTAGTGTGCACTCCCCTGCATGATATGCCTGTATACTTATGCATAGGGGTGCCTGTACATAGACATAGTTGCATGTGCTAGTGCCCAGGAGTGCAACAAAGTTTCTGACCTGCCAACTGGCTGGGCTCTTTCCCAGAATGTTTTGCGGACCTCTTGTCAGATGGGGAAACAGTCCCAGAGCAGGGCAGGTGCTCCCAGGGACACATATGAGTGGGACTCATCTGCTTTGCTCCTGTCTGCCCTGTGTGGGTGCTTAGGGGTCTGCCTCAGGGTATCTAGGAGGCTTGCCTGCCTAAGCTTGGGGGCCTGGGTTGTGTGTGCAGGCTCAGATGGGACAGGGTGTGCCGTTAGGTGGCAGTGCTTCGATGGAGCCTGCAGTGTTGGTTCCGAGGCTCTAGGATGGCCCACCTCCCACCAGAAGACCCAAACCCTGGGTCCTCCAGGCCCTCAGGAGCCCTGATCCTTCTCGTGGTTGGACTACCTGACCGAAACCTGGCTGCTTTTTAATACTCAACTCTGTTGCAACCCCGAGACCACAAGGGGGCGCCAGGGCCCCAGACACTGCACATTGAGACTGTCGCTAAATGTCTCTCACCCTGTGGGAGGTGGACCTTGGCTCCTACCACCCGCCAGTGGCTTCAGCTTCTACCCTGGTGGGTGAGGGGGCATCCGTCCAGGAGCAACTGGCTATTTGTGCTACTTTCAGCCTTCAGGTTCCACCCACCCTCCTCCCCCAACGTTGTTAGTGGGCCCTGGGTGTCTCTGCAGCCCTTTACATGCTGTCCAGGGGCTCAGGGTGGTGCAGGAGCCCACGTTTGTTAAGCCAACAAAAACCTGATTCCTGCATGTTGGGTCTGTTTAAAGTGGGGTCTGTCCACTGCCTGCCTGTCCTGTCCTGGCTCCCCTTGTGCCCCAGGTGTGACCCCAAGCCCTGCTGTATCCGTAATCCGGGAGCTCCCCAGCTCTTAGCCTTTCTGCCAGGGCTTGACTCATTAAAGCTGGCCCTGGTCTGCAGCCCACTCCCTCGTCTACCCTGCCATCCTCTCTCCTGGGCATTTGCTCATCCCTGGCCGTCTGCTGGGAGCTGTCAGCATGGAGGCAGCTGGACTGTGAGGACTGTGGCTTTGTCTCGCCAGTTCTGCGTCCTTCATGCCTGGCACACAGTGAGGGAGCGGCGTCCGACCATCAGATGGGCTGGCAGAAGCTGGACTTACAGAAGCAGTGTGGGAACTGGCGGCCAGGCCACATGAGGGTGCAGGAGGGACAGAATCTGGGTGTGGGCTGAACCCCCACCCTCCCTCCCCTGCCAAGGAGAAAAGCCAAAGTCTAGTCCCAGAGCCAGTGTTTATTAGCAAGATGGGACCCAAGGGCGGCTGTGGCCTGAGCAGCAGAGGGCCGCCAGGAGCCCCCACCCATCTTCCCGACTGCCCCCAGAGCTATTTACACCCGTCATCTGAAATGGTGGGCAGAAGGGAGCCCTGGGCAGCCCCGCCGGGCCCCAGGCCTCTCCCAGGGCCCCCTCTCCCCTCGGCCCTGCCTGCACCTGGCCCCTCTGCTGTGCTCCGAGCCCCTGGAGTCGCAGTGGCCCAGAAGAGGTGAGGAGGAGGTAGAGAGGCCAGGCAGGAGAGGGAGAGGGGCTGCAGGTGTCCCATCCAGGCAGGGCCCCTTTTCTCTTGTCCCCAATAAATAGAGAATAAATACCTGGGAAGGGGCTGGCCGTGACTGAGTGCCCCTCCCAGGTGGGGCCAGCATCCTGTCAGGGTGCCCCCTCCCCAATCTCCAAAGCAGTCCTCGTATATCCATGTCTCTGCCGTCGGCACGTGTTGGCAAAGGTGTACAGTCTGTACCACATCCCTGCCTGTGTCCCGTAGGTCCCGGAGTGGCTGCCAAGCGGTGGGCCCCCAGATCCTTCTGGGGACCATGTGCTCCTCCCTGCCCTGCCAGCTGGCTGGACCTAGGTAGGTGGGCTCTGTTCTCTGCCGTCTCTGACCGGCACATGTCTAAGTTCTGGGTGATGCTGCTGCTGAGGCTACATACAACCCATCAATAAATACTGTCTTTGCAGGGGCAGGGTATGCATAGAATATAGATATTTTATATATATATATATATATATATATATATATATATATATATATATACACACATATATGTATCTTTTATATTAAAAGGGACAAAGGCTAGGCTGGCCCACGGCAGGGCTCAGACAGCCTCATGTGTCCGGCGGGCGGTGGCGGCGGTTCCGAGGCTTTTTCTGGTCCTGGGGTTCGGGGGGCCTGGGGGCCCCTGGGGCCTCCCTAGGGCTGGGGGGCACGTGGCGCCAGTAGCCCTGGCAGTACTGATGGATGAGGCCCACTTCTGGCTGGGCCAGCAGCTGGGCCAGTTCCTGGTATGGGGGTGTGGGGGCACCAGTGCCTGGGGGCGGCGGGGCGCTCACAGGCAGTGGCGGAAAGAGGGCAGCGTGGACGGCGTCCCGACCCAGCACATGCAGCTGCACCCGTGTGACGACGTGCTTGAAGTTGTTCTCGGTGGCTGTGCAGGAGTAGAGGCCACGGTCTCCGGGCTGCAGGGCGCGAAGCAGCAAGCCCTGCTCCGTGCGCAGGAAGCGGTCCTCTGTTCGGATCTACAGGCCGGGAGCGGTCGTTCAGGGGCTGCATGGCCACCCCACCTCTGTGACCACCCCACATAGGACACCCCTGCAGAGCTCCCATACACCAAGAGAGCTGGCATGCTGTTTCCACGGGACCCCTCAGTCAGGAGCCCACACACACACGTTTCCATTTCAGAAGGGGTGACCCCAAGGCGATTTGGTGCAATGAGGTTTGTGAGAACACCCACTGGGCACCTTCCTGGCATTTCCATGTAAGGAGGGTGGCCTGGAAGGGATTTCTGTAAATTGGAGGTTACCCCGCCAAATTCCAGTCTCCCACTGGACCCTTCCACACGAGGAGCACACCAGTGGAGTGGGTACACGTGTGGGAATTTCATGTAGAGTCATGCCCATAAATGGCTCTCGTAGATTATGGGAACCCCACAGCGTTTCTGTTACACAGGAGTGGCCCAAACAACTTCCTCGCAGGGAAGGGGCCCTGAAGGGCTTTCTCAGACTGACGGCCACTCCAGCATGGCTGCCACACCACATTCCACCTGCGTGGGAGCCCTATTGTACAAGGCCTCAGCATCCAGCGTGAGGATCGCGGGGCCCAGGAAGTCACCTCTCGGCGCCGGTCACTGGCATCTCGCTGGAACAGCCACTTAACGGCGGCCTGGGGCGAGCGGGGCTGGCACTCGAGGAAGGCTGCGCTGCCTGCCACGCCGTACTGCACGGACTCCACGGCGTTCTTGTTGGCTGAGGGGAGGGCGCGGCATGAGCCCCGTGCCTCGCAGGATGTCCACCGCAAAGGCGGGCTGCGCCCCAGGGTTGCCCCTCAATGGGGTGGCTGAGAAGCCTCACCCAGCCCCCCGGGGCTGGCCGAGAGCGCTCACCATTGGAGTTGAAGCCGCGGCACTGTCGTGTGGGGTTCCCGTGCCGGATGTCCTGCCGGCGGCTCCGCCTGCACCAGGAGAGCAGCTCAAGGTGCATTCCCAAGCGGGCCTGCCCCCTCACCCCGCACCCCGCGTCCCTGGGGAACGTCGCACCCGCCTGCAAGCCCGCCAGACGGCCCTGGTCGGAGCCCGCACCTCTTGGAGGATGCTGTGTAGCGGGAGCAGGTCTGGCCGTCCCAGGCGCAGTAGGGGTCCCGGGCAAGGCAGCAGTCGGCACAGGCGGCCCCGTATGCCTGGCAGCGGTGCAGGCTCAGGTGCGTGACGCCCACGGCGGAGGCCACGTACAGTTGTTGCTGAGGGCAGGGGAGTGGCCTGTCACTTCCCTGCCCACCGCCAGCTCCCATGAGCTTCCCTGGTCCGTATCAAGGGTCCCGTCCCCGGGGCTCAAACCCCAGCCCACCCCCAAGGGAGCAGACCCCACACCGCGCCACCCACCTCGCCAGGACTCACCCTCTTGGAAGAGATGGTCATGGTCTTAACGGGCACTGGCTCCTGGAGGGGATTCCCGTCAGCCTAGGGCCTGGGGCCTGGGACCCCCACCCTGCCCTGGGGCCTGCGGTCAGGAGCCGGCAGGGAGGGTGGGCCGGGGTCACACCCACCTTGAAGACCTCCACCTCCTCCAGCATCAGCTCCTCCATCTCCTGGTCGTCCTTGGGCAGCACGATGACCTTCTGCACCGTCCCGTGGTCTGGAACGGGCCGGGCAGGGCCTCAGTGGGGCTGAGGATGCTGGGGAAGGGGCACCAGCCTCAGCCCCTTCCCCGCCAGGGCCCAAGCCCCCGAGTGCGGGGGAGCAGGAGTTCTGTGCCGAGGTTGGGGCGTCTGCCCCCAGGAGGGGACGAGGTCTGAGGGGA